GGTGCCGCGGGGCGGCGGGCAGGCCGCCTGCCGCTGCCCCAACTGCCAGGAGGCCGAGAGAGGCGGCGCGGGCGCCGAGGGCGCCAAGAGGAAGCACCTGCACAACTGCCACATCCCCGGCTGCGGCAAGGCCTACGCCAAGACGTCGCACCTGAAGGCGCACCTGCGCTGGCACAGCGGCGACCGGCCCTTCGTCTGCAACTGGCTCTTCTGCGGCAAGCGCTTCACGCGCTCCGACGAGCTGCAGCGGCACCTGCAGAGCCACACGGGCACCAAGAAGTTCAGCTGCCCGGCGTGCGGCCGCGTCTTCATGCGGGGCGACCACCTCAGCAAGCACATGAAGACCCACGAGGGCGCCAAGGACGGAGGCGAGCCGGAGGGCAAGGGTGCTGCGGAGCCGCCCGCCGGCAAGGGAGCCCCGCGGGAGCCCGACGGCACCGGCGCCGCCCCCACAAACTGAGGCCTGCAGCGGGGGCGCCCACCGGGACCCCCCCGCCGGAGCCAAGGGAGCCGCCGGAGCTGGAGGCTGGTGCTGCTGGAGGTGGCGAGGGGCCCGCGCGAGGTGCTGGGGGGGCCGGGACCCCTCCTTGGGGCTGGTCTCCAAAGGGGCCGAGGGGGACGCGGGAAGAGCTGGCACTTTGCAGGGTTGGGGACTGTCGTGGGATGGGGACAGGAGACAGCATGGGGGGGCTGTGCAGACCCCTCCCCACGGTCCCCACCAGTGAGGGCCCAGCTGGCGGCCCAGCATGGCCGGGACCGGCTGCAYCCCCCACCCCCCGTGCCGGTGCCGCCGGGAGCGCCGGAGCCAGCGGCGCCCGGGGCGGTTTCACTTGTCACCCTCCCTCGCGCTCCCGCTCTCCCGCGCGGGTTCCCCCCGTCCTCCCCCGGCTTCCCAAATCCTTTATGTATTTCTTTTTGGGAGGCTGCTGGCAGGCGGCGGGGCTGTTTGGGAGCAACATCAATCGGCTCCGGCGGAGCAGGCGCTGCCCGGGCACGTCCGGCCCCAGCGGGGAGGAAGGCGAGGGAGAAAGCGAGAAAGCCGAAGGGCCCCCGCTGGGGAGGGGGCTCTGCAGCGCCCGGCCCTGTCCCGAGGGAGTCTGGGGGTCACAGCCAGGCTCGGGCCTCGACCCTTCGACCACCGCTGAGATTTTAGGAGCCGCTGGGGCTCCTCGCCCCCCACATTCAGCCCTCGCACACCGCGCTTTCGCTGGGCTGAGGGGTCCCCATCCCTGCCTCTTGGCCCACATTTAGGGCAGCGGGGGGCAGGCCGGGCGGCGGGAGGGGGTGCGGGGGCCGGGCGGCCGCGGGCGCCGCGCGCGGTTGCCCAAGACGCGCAAACACCTGCTGCGTTCCCACGCCCACCGCGCGGCCCCGGGCGGGAAGC